CCTCAAACATAACAACAAGGAAACTACAAGTTACCAAAACCTGTAGGATATTGCAAAAGCAATCTTAAGAGGAAAATTTATTGGATTAGATGCCTACATCCAAAAAACAAAAAGAGAGCACATCAACAAACTAATGAATCATCTTAAGGGAATGGAAAAAGAAGAACAATCACATCCCAATCCCAGTAGAAGAAAAGAAATAAAATTATATGAGAAATATATGAAATTGAAAACAAAAGAATTATTCAGGGAATTAAACAAAAAGTTGGTTCTTCAAATAAATAAATAAAATCAATAAATCATTGGCCAGATTAACTAGAAACAGAAAAGTAAAATCTAATAACCTCAATCAGAAATAATGAAGGGGAAATAACAATGGATGTCACAAAAATATAACAGATTATCTTTGAATACTCCAAGACACTATGCCCAGAAATTTGACAACGTGAAGGAAATGGATCAATACCTGGAATTATACCCTCTACCTAGACTTAACCAAGAAGATATAGATCTTTTGAACAGACTGATTTCAACTACTGAGATTGCAGAAACAATAAAAAATGTCCAAACAGAAAAATGCCTTGGACCAGAGGGCTTCACACCAGAATTCTATTAAATCTTCAAAGAAGAGCTTTATTCCCATACTGCAGAAATTATTCCAAAAAATTAAGAAGGAAGACATCTTCCCCAGCACATTTTATAAAGCAAACATCACCCTGATACCAAAACCAGATCCAACTAACAAGGAGAACTACAGACCAATTTCATTAATGTATATAGATGCAGAAGTACTCAATAAAATCTTAGCCAATAGATTACAGCTACATGTTAAAAAAAATTATACATCACAATCAAGTAGGATTCATCTCAGGGATGCAAGTCTGGTTTAACATACAAAAATTTATAAATGTAATTTACCATAACAATAGATGCAAAAAAAAAGATTTTATAAAATAGATGTAGAAAAAGCATTTGATAAAATTCAGCATCCTTTTCTAATAAGAATACTTAAGAAAATAGGCATAGGTGGCACATTTCTTTCTTTTTTTTTTTTTTTGAGACAGAGCCTCAAGCTATCCCCCTGGGTAGAGTGCTATGGCATCACAGCTCACAGCAACCTCCAACTCCTGGGCTCAAGCGTGTCTCCTGCCTCAGCCTCCCAAGTAGCTGGGACTACAGGCGCGCCACAACACCCAGCCATTTTTTTGGTTGCAGCCATCATTGTTGTTTGGCGGGCCTGGGCTGGGGATTTGAACCCACCACCTTAGGTGTATGTGGCTGGCGCCTTAGCCGCTTGAGCCACAGGCGCCGACCCGGTGGCACATTTCTTTAACTAATTGAAGCTATCTATGACAAACCCATAGCTGATATCATACTGAATGGAGTAAAACTGAAAGCTTTTCCACTGAGAAGTGGAACCAGACAAGGACATCCACCGGCTCCACTATTCAGCATAGCGCGGAAGTTCTAGCCAATGCAGTCAGGCAAGAGAAGCATATAAAAGGCATCCAAATGGGAGGAGAGGAGGTCAAACTCTTGTTCTTTGCCAATGAGAGAATCTTATACTTAGAGAACTGCAATGACTTAACTGCAAGACTCCTGGAAATAATCAAGAAAGACAATATCAAAGGACAAAAAATCAATGTGAACAAATCAGTAGCCTTTATATATGCCAACAATAGTCAGGCTGAAAAGCTAATCAAAGACACAATTCCCTTCATAGTAGCTTTAAAGACAATGAAATACCCATGAATTGACCTAACAAAAGAAGTGAAGAACCTCTAAAGAGAATTAGAAAATCCTGAGAAAAGAAATAGCAGAAGACATTAACAAATAGAAGACCGTACCATGCTATTGTCTGGGAAGAATCAACATTATTAAAATGTCTATACTTCCTAAAGTAATCTACAGATTCAATGCAATTGAAATACCATCATCAGACTTTGAAGATTTGGAAAAAATAGTCATTCATTTTGTATAGAACCAGAAAAAAACCAGTATAGCCAAGGCAAATCTAAGTAATAGAAACAAAGCTGGGGGCATCACCCTACCAGACCTTAGGCTATATTACAAGTCCATAGTGATCAAAACACCATTGTATTGACACAAAAATAGAGATATAGACATGTGGAATAGAGATGAAACTAACATCTTACAGCCTCCTGATCTTTGATAAATCAAACAAGAACATACACTGGGAAAAGAACTCCTGTTTAATAAATGGTGCTGAGAGAACCGAATAATACATTTAAAAGACTGAAATTGGACCCACACCTTTCACCACTTACAAAGATTGATTTAAGATGGAAAAAAGATTTAAATCTAAGGCATGAAACGATAAAAATCCTAGAAGAAAGTGTGAGAAAAACTCTTGATGATGTCAGCCTGGGGAAAGATTTTATGAAGAAGACTTCATAGCTATTGTAACAACAAAAATAAACAAATGAGACTTAATTAAATTGAAAAGCTTTTGCTTAGCCAAGGACATAACAATCAAAGCAAATAGACAACTTTCAGAATAAGAGAAGATATTTTCGTATTATGAATCCAACAAAGGCTTGATAACTAGGATCTTTAGAGGAAACAAATTAATCAACAGAAAAATAATTAACAATCCCATCTGTCACTGGGAAATAGACATGAGTAGAACCTTCTCTGAGGAAGACAGATGAATGGCTAACAAACATGAAAAAAATGCTCCTCGTGCTTAATCATCAGAGAAATGCAAAGCAAAACCACCCTGAGATACTACCTATCCCCAGTAAAATTAACACACATCACAAAGTCCCAAAGTTGCAAATGCTGCCACAGATGTGAGGGCGGGGGGCGCACTTAACACTGTTGGTGGGACTGCAAACTAATACAGCCTCTTTGGAAAGAAGTGTGAAGAATCCTCAAAGAACTCAAGTTAAATCTCCCATTTAACCCTGTAATCCTACTACTAAGGCATCTACCCAGAAGAAAAAACATTCTTTTATCATAAGGACATTTGCACTAGACTGTTTATCATAGTTCAACTTACCATCACCAAAATGTAGAAGCAACCTAAATGTCCACCTATCTAGAAATGGATTAACAAGCTGGGGTATATGTATACCATGGAATACTATTCAGCCATTAAAAAAAATGGAGACTTTACATCTTTTGTATTAACCTGGATGGAGTTGAAATACATTCTTTTTAGTAAAGTATCACAAGAAGGGAGAAGCAAGAAGCCAATATATTCAATTCTAATATGAAGTCAGTAGACCATCTAATACACACCCACATAAGAGGAAAACTCAAATCAATTCAAGGGAGGGGGATGGGGAATGAGGGAGTGGGGAGAAGGGTGGGGGATGGGTGTGTTTCCACTTAATGGGCACAATGTTAGGGTGTATGGCGTACATCTTGGGGGCAGGACACAATTATAGGAGGGGTTTTACTTAACAAATGTAAGCAATATAACCTAATTTGTTGTACCCTCAAATTAACCTGAAACAATAAATAAATAAGTAAATAAAAGAAATGTGTGCCTGAGTACTTCACATGAGTGTCATTGGTCTTATGCCCCATTCTTGGTGCCCTCCTACAACTCCCTGGTTTAAACCCTTGATGAAGTTTTTAAAGGGAAATGGGTTAACAGTTGTTGATTTTAATTTTTTGAAAACATTGGATAAATGCATTAGCTTAAAAACAAAAAGACTAGCAACAGTGATTTAAGAGGCAAACAATATGTTCATCATATATGCAGACAGCACCCTCATTTGGTGACTGTCAGCACGGCAAGTCCTTGAAGGATTGTACTCTGAGCAGGTGGCTTAGGGGCACTAGGCTTTCTTGGACACCTTCTTTATAGCCTTGGATAGGAGCACACACCGAAGAAGACTGAAGACCCTCTCTGGGATATAGGCCAGAGGAAGCCTGAAGCCCTTTGGTTGTGTTTCATAGTGGCTGCCTGATTTAAGCTGGTGTCTTCTTCCTGTGCCCCACCTTTCCCTGATGTTGCTCAGCTGGCATGCTGGGGCTCTCCAGCTTTTTTTTTTTTTTTTTATAAATTTTAGATAAATTCTTTGATCAGGGTATTTAGGGAGAGGAGTTGTTTATCTGGTTTCATTCAGTATTTCTGATGGTTGAATGAGAATAGTTTATGCCTTGACGAGGAGAACCATGGCTCAGATTTTAAGAATAGACAGAATTTCTCCCCATCAGAATATCCCACAGGCCTGATGACTCGTAAGAAGTATATCCTAGTGTTGTGTGTCTGTGTGCGTGCACGCGTACATGCGTGTGCATGCATGTTTATTTTTTAAGGTAACCAATGTGCAGAAGCATTGAAAGGATTACAGTTTTGTTACCTCTTTCTGAATAATTGCTCGATCTTACATTGGTATGAATTTATACCCATATAAACTGGTCCATCTTAAATTGAACTACTTGTTTTTCCCTTTTTCACATCTGTCTCTTTTGTCCCTCCCTTGTAGGCTTCAAACTTTAATCCAGATGAAAGTAAGGAGATGCCTTAGGTCCCATGAGCAGACATTTAGGCCTATGTTTTCTGATATCAAATCAAGCAGAAGTCTCCTTAGATAGCAGTTTCACACTTTGTTCCAAATTTATATCTGTGATGATCTTCTAAGGTACCACCAGAACTAGAATTGACATCATTCTGAGTCACTGAGTAAAGTGGTTTGTGTTAAATCTGTAACAATGATTGATCCACTCATGAATATACAATGCCAAATGCACATATGCACTTAATGTAATTTAATAATGTAATTTAATAATGTAATCAGCCAGAGCAGTTTTGTCTGAAAATTTAGTAAGCCTTTGCTTAATTGCTCAGTGATATTTTGAAACCATGATGTTTAAGACTAAATAGCATTACTCGGGAGTAACTTCAGTTATTACTTGTAGTAATGGAAGTGATAAGTAGAGTTCTACTTTTTAGACTTTTAAAGTGTTTCTTATGATCACTGTGAAAAATCACAATGTGACTCTTGTTTTATTGTTTTACTTAGAGACACTTTTTTAGAAATCTTGGATCCATTCTGGCCTATGCCTTCTTGGGGACTGCTGTTTCCTGCTTCATTATTGGGTAAGTGAATTTTTGTCATATAACAAAATTAGCACACTTTCCAAAGGGATGCAATCCATATGAGTCCACAGAGTCCAGTATGTTAATGTTTGTGATCATGGCAGTTAGAATTGAGAGCAACACTTTCCAATATGGTAGCTATTAATTAAAATGAAATAAAATTACACCTAGTACCCAGATCTTGGTTTATATTATCATTCTTTGGTACAAAGAACCAGAACTCCTTTCAGAACTGGTTAATTCTAAGGCTGAGGCAAGAAATGCAGAAGATGAAAATGTAGCATCTTATAAGGCCAGAAAGTGAGGGAGCGCGCAAAAGACAAAAGGAAAGGATGTGAGCATGTCATAGGGACATAAGTGAAAGACCCCTTAATTGCTGAAGAACAACAAAATAATAGGGTATTAGATTATCACCTAAAATACAAAATATCCTGGAGTCTATACAGATATATTAATAAATAAATATTTAGATGAATAAGTAGATTGGGGAGAAGACACAGATCTCCTGTGCATAAGAGTTCCAAATATGTACATAGATCTCTCTCAAGGAGGCGGAGCTTAGTTCCTCCTCCCAACCTTACCCCCACGTTGAGTGTGAGTTGCATCATGACTTCCTTCCAAAGAGTACAGTACAGAAAGCAGAAAAAAAAAGTAGCAAACACTGCCTCCACCAGGTGATCAAGGTCAACATCAACAGTGGCAAGTCATGTTGATAGTATACAACCCTTCATATTTGTGATAAGAAGGGCACTTTACCTCTCTAGTCTTAAACATTAACTCAGTCAAACCATGAGAAAAAATCAGACATGTCCAAGTTGAGGGCCATTTTATAAAACATCTAACCAGTACTCCTCACATAGGCCAAGGTTATCAAAACCGAGCAAAGTCTAAGAAACTGTCACAGCCAAGAGGAGACTAACAAGATTTGACAACTAAATGTCATGTGGTATCCTGGAGCAGGAAAAGAGTATTAAGTAAAAACTAAAGGAAAAAAAAAAAACCTCTTTACAAGGTTTTTGTTTCTAGTCCTTATCTTAAACATTGTTATTGTTACTAAATTTTAAGCCTTTTTAATTTTGTGAAGGCAAAAAGTAGAAACCTAATAAACACATGTATATGTAAAAAAAAAAAAACTAAGAAAATCTGAATAAGTAAGGATTTTCATTAACTTTTTGAATATTAGCTGGAAACCTGGAGATAAACCCAGGGGCCTTTTATGCCATCATAAAAAGAGGGGTTTGGACTAACGAAGCATTGGAGAGTGACAGGTTACATAACTGGCATTGGTGATGCTAGGAGACAGAATGGAGAAAAGGCTGCCAGAGAAGTCTATGGCTCAGGTCTAAGACTGTGGTAAAAGGAAATGGAGAAGAAGGTCTAGTTCCCGGAAATGTTTAAAAGGTAGATGAAGAAGTCTTTGATAAGCAACAAAGGGCAAATCAAATGTGTGTCACAGAGTTTCTGTGAAATGAAGTTGAACTTAGTGAGTGTCCTGAACAGTATCTAGCACACTGTAGGTAAGCTTTAAAGTCATAGCTATTTCTTCTCAAAAGGACTCCATTCTGTTAATAGTTCTTTTGCTCCTAACTTTTCTAATCAACTGTTCTAAGCTTCAAGATGCAAAGGTGGGCAATGCCATGGTCTTTGATTCCCATTAAGAATCTCATTATTAGAGGGTTGGCCGTAGGTATAATGAGTCAAGGTCTCAGTTATTTTTGTTCTTCTAACCCCAGCACCTGCCGCTGTCACTGCTGCCACCACACACACATGCCCACGTGTACTTACCCACACATGAAACACATATTAGGCCTTTTAACACTCCTCATTCCTTAGCTGGGTGTTGTGGTGGGTGCCTTTAGTCCCAGCTTCTTGGGAGGCTGAGGCAAGAAAATCACTTAAGCCCAAGAGTTTGAGGTTGCCCAGCCCCATATTCCGAGGGTGGAGGGTTCAAACCTAGCCCCAGACAAACTGCAACAACAACAACAAAAATAGCCAGGCATTGTGGCAGGTGCCTGTAGTCCCAGCTACTCGGGAGATTGAAGCAAGAGAATCGCCTAAGCTCAGGAGTTAGAATTTGCTGTGAATTGTGAGGCCATGGCACTCTACCCAGGGTGACAGCTTGAGGCTCTATCTCAAAAAATAATTAGTAGGATGTAAGCACTCCCAATTTGTAAAAATAATCAACACATTGAATCCCACAAAGGCATAAATGTATTCATGATCTATGTGTATATACTTAATAAAAAATTTTTTTAAAATAAATTAAATTAAAAAAAAAAACAGTCCTCCCAATTCGTAAGCTCTCCTGTAGGAAATGTGCTCCATCCAAGCTGAAAATGTAACTTGGTGTTCTCTCTTGGACCATGTCCCATTCTACATGGCTTGGGGAGGGCTGCTATTGGCCTGCCTAGCCCATGTAAAGAATAAGAGGCCAGATATGTCCGTGGATACACTAGTGTTCTAGCAGGACATGTAGAGAAGTTTGTCTCATTTTCCTTCTTTGAAATAATCCCTGGCGGAGAAGGTTGGTACCTTGGATCTTTGTGACCAACCTATTTTTTTCTCTCCAGCTTCACCTAGTCACCATTTCTGTAACATTAAATGCATTACTTTACCATCCTATGAATTTTATACCAATTTATTACACATTATTCCAGGTTCTGTCTCTTCCTTTCTCCTCTGTTAGTTGTGTAAGATGCCTTAACTGTGTTGTTGATTGAAGACCATACTTCATAGTTGCTATAGTTGTTAGCACAACTTTTTTTCTTCTTTTTTGAGACAAAGTCTCACTATGTTGCCTTGGGTAGAGTGCTATGGTGTCAAAATTCACAGCAACTTCTAACCCTTGTGCTCAAGTGATTCTCTTGCCTCAGCCTCCCAAGTAGCTGGGACTATAGGCACCCGCTACAACACCCAGGTATTTTTTTGTTGTTGTTGTACCTGTCATTGTTTAGCAGGCCCAGGCCAGGTTTGACCCTGCCTGCCTCAGTGTATATGGCTGGCACCATAACCATTGAGCTATGGGTACTGAGCCATCACAACTTTTAAAAATAAAATATTCAGATGTTTCATCAAGATGACCATTAATCAGAAACCATCACTTGGTGCCAAAGTCCTATTTACCCATGTTCCTGTTTAAGTGTCCAACCATATCAGCTTCCTGTTATTTCTATAAGTCTTCCTGGAATTATGGTATTATAGTACCACTCTGCTTGTGTGTTTGCTAGGTTATTCACTTTTTTTCTCCTTGTGACTTAGTTTACTTTACCTTCTTACAGAAATCTCATGTATGGTGTGGTGAAGCTCATGAAGATTGTGGGACAGCTCTCAGATAAATTTTACTACACAGATTGTCTCTTTTTTGGAGCAATCATCTCTGCCACTGATCCAGGTATTTACATATTTGCCTTTATCCTGATATTCCGTTACTTAAATCTTAAAATATTGAGAGCAACCGTTGATTTTTGTGCAGTAGGGAAACTGTAATAGAAACAGGGAATGGTGGAAGAAGTGACCAATAGGTGGGTCTAACGTGCTTAGATGGCTTTTCTTTCTTTTTTTTTTTTATTAAATCATAGCTGTGTACATTAATGCAATCATGGGGTGCAGTGTGCTGGTTTTACATACAATTTGAAATATTTTCATGAAACTGGTTAACATAGCCTTCATGGCATTTTCTTAGTTATTGTGTTAAGACATTTATATTCTACATTTAGAAAGATTCACATGTACCCTTGTAAGATGGACCATAGGCATTTCTTTTTTTATTGTTACTATTTTATTGTGGTAAAAATGTGTGAGACAAAATTTACCATCGTAACCATTTCTAAGTGTTCAGTACTGTTAAATATATTCACATCTCTGTATAACCAATCCTCAGGACATTCTTATCTTGTAATACCGAAACTCTGTACCCATGAAACAACAACTTCTCAGTCCCACCACCTAGCAAGCACCATTCTGCTTTCTGTCTCTATGAATGTAACGTTACTACTGTGGATCCCTCATATAAGAAGAATCATACGGTGTTTGTCCTTTTATGACTGACTTATTTCATTTGGCTTGATGTCTGAAAGGTGCATCCAAGTTGTAGCATTTGTTATAATTTCCTTCCTTTTAATGCTGAATAATACTCCATTGTATGCATACACCACACTTGGTTTATACATTCATCTGTCAGTGGGCACATGGATTGCTTCCACTGTACTTCTCATTTGTTTTTCATTTTAGAATGTCTAATTTGGTGGTAATTTTTATACTTAGACCGTATGCTTTCTCGGTGTGCTTTTGCTTTCTCTTAGGAAACATATCATTTGGTTTAAATAATACCTTTTCTTAGTAGAAACACACATGAGTACCTGTAGTGAATGTAATTTGATTTGTAAATAAATGCCTTTTGTATGATGTTCCTAGGTGACTGCACATTGTGACATGGTTTTCTACTCATAAATCTCTTGCCTTGCATTTTCAAGTGTTAGTTGAACCAATCCTTACAAGTGAATTATTATATACCCCTCCACCCTCATTGCTCAAAACAAACAAAAACGCCTCTCCTTTCTAAGTTAGAACCTATAATTAAATCTGTTTGCATAAAGGTACAGATACTCCTCTAATGTTAACTGTTGAGAATACATCTTACGGAAAGAAGTTATGGAGAATGAGCTGGTCCTCATGAAAAGTCTTCTCAATGTTTATGACGCCTTCTAACATTGTGGGCAGCAATAACCTTACAGATACTAAGATTTCCCACTCAACCGTACTTCCTCATGGTCCTAGGTCAATGCCATCCTATGGATCATTCTGCAAAGATAGATTTGTTCTATAATTTGCCCAGTCCATTGAGGTAGCCAGTATCCACATGTGGCTGTGAAGCAGTTGATATGTGGGGTACTGTAACTGAGGAACTAGATTTTAAATTTTATTTAATGGTAAGTAATTTAAATTTAAACAGCCACATGTGACTAGTGGGCTATCACATTGGACAGCATAGCTCTAAACAATTGTGTGGTTCTGAAGAATCTCAGTGTTCCAAAAAATGTTGACCTATCTTATCCCTCTTCTTACTGAATTGTAATAAAATTCAACATTTTATTACAAATACCCTAAGTAAATTAGTATCAAAAGAAGGTAGGATGTGGAGTCACAAGTCTGGGTGTGAGTTCTACTGTCAATCATTTATCGAGTATCCTCTGCCATCGGTTTGCTCAGCAATGAAGTAGGAATAATGGTACCTATTTCCTAAGCTATTGTAGAGATTAAATGAAACAACACATGCAAAGCACAGAGCATACAGCATCTGAATGCTGGTCTCAGCTCAGGCAGAGATTTCTCAGTTTTATTCTTTTTTTTTTTTTTTTATCAAAAATGAGTAACAGATCATCACTTAACCCAAGAATGTTTCCAAAGAGTATCATGAAAAGCATCTTTATTATTTAGTAGGATTCTGTCTGTGAATGTCTGTAGATGTATATCTGTTGAGAAATAGATTCTTTGTAAGTCTGAGAACGTGGTTTAGTCTGCCTGAAATATGTATATTACAAATAATTCTCATCTATAACTTTATTACTGACTTCATTCTAGTACTTGCCAACATGTAAAGGGAGGTTAGTGTAACATAAAGATTACTGATATTGGTGAGATACAGTGGCTCACCTATAATCCCGGTACTTTGGGAGGCCAAGGTGGGAGGATCACTTCAGGCCAGGAGTTTAAGACCAGCCTGGGTTAACATAGCAGACCCTGTCTCTAAAAAACAAAAGATAAAAAAAGACAAAATTAGCCAGGCATGGTGGCATACACCTATAGTCTAAGCTACCTGAGAGGCTGAGGCAAGAGGATTGCTTGAATCCAGGAGTTTGAGGCTGCAGTGAATTATGATTATGTCACTGAACTCCAGTCTGGTAACAGAGTAAGACCCAATGTCTTAAATTTTTTTTTTAAAAGGATTACTGATATTGTTTTTTGAGCTATTGTTGTTGCTTCGTTTAATAGAATAGAAATGCTTATTTTTTTCAGATTATCTTTGCAACTGTTTACAAACTTTAATGTGTCTGTGCCATGGTAGAAAATAACAGAAGGCATTACCACGGTACACCATTTTTATGTGGCCTATGCAGATTGGCACAGTAAGGGTTTTATATGAATGGAAGTTCTAGAAAATTGAAAGTTTAGACTTATTAAACACTAGGGCATTAACTGCTTTTTTAATGGAAATCTTCCTGAAATGTAGAATGCTTTTGTAAATTAGAAGTGCTTTACTACCTTCTTAAAAATCTGTTGTTTGAAAAGTTGGGTCCTAAAAGAGAAACTTAAGTGCAGAGTTTAGAGGGGATAACAAAAGTAGATTGACTTCCAGTGCCTGGTGCACAAAAAAAATTCTGGGATTGGGACAGAAAGTGGTATAGACTGATATGAAAGAATAAAAGGGCCATCCTTTTATTGCTGTACTTGGCTCAAACACCAATCTTTTGTTTTCTGAGTGAAGGTGACACAGTATTTGTAGGGTGGTGTGGGCTGCTCTGTGACAGGGAGCCCTCTCCAGTCTGTGGTCATGTGCCATGGGTGCCATGTACCATCTTTGTCAGCTGTTGCTTTAGATGGATCCACAATTGAGAAAACTGAAGTGCCTTCCTAGGCAGTGACCAGAGAACACAAGTGTTATTTTTCCTGTGAACCATTATGAAATGATTCTCTCTAATTTTAATTTTGTTATTTTTATGCCCTTTGAATCAATCAAGTTTCAAAGTCTAGGATCTGTATTTTCTAAGATTAATCCTTTAGTTGCATCACCAGGCTGGTCAGTCTTTTTCCTTTTTTAGACAAGGTCTTACTCTGTAGAGCCCAGGCTGGAGTACAGTGGCACTATCATAGCTCGCTGTAGCCTGGAATGCCTGGGATCTTACAATCATCTCACCCCAACCTCCCAAGTAGCTGGGAGTACAGGTACATGCCTCTAGCCTGGCTGACTAAAACAAAGGTAATTAGATTGGGATTTTTTTTTTTTTATTCTGACAACTTTCTTTTTCTTTTTTTTCCTTTAATTAAGTCATATATACATAGACCATGAACACATTTGTGCATGTGTGGGGTACAATGTGTTGATTTTTTATACAATTTGGAGTGCTTACACCAAACTAATCAACATAGCTTTCACCTCATTTACTTAATTATTGTGTTAAGATAGATTTGGGATCTTGCTGTGCTGCCCAGGATGGTCTCAACCCCCTGGCCTCAACTGATCCTCTTGCCTCAGCCTCCCAAAGAACTGAGATTGCAGGTGTGAGCTAACTATGCCCAACTATACACTGGTCAATCTTTTGTTCATCATTTGAGACTAGTTCAAATATGCTACCACCCCAGTCATTCTTCCTAGATTCCTTCATTATCTACTACCCATATCTCTCTTAAGTCTGTTGTGTACATAACAATACGTGCTACTCTGTACTAAGTGTTGTCAAGTTCCAGGCACTCTTTAGAACAGGGTGATGTGTTCAAGAAAAGTTAGTTGAATGAACAAATTCAGATTCTTGATTTTCCCTTCCTCCTATTTCTGCCATTCTTTGATTTTTTCCCACTGACTGCACCAATGGCCTTCAGTTGGTTAATTGTGATTTCTCAGTCTGCATCTGTTGGAAACAGCTGTTGTGAGCTGTTTGCTCTGATTTCAAGGGTTCTGCTGTGCGCGGGGGTGGAGGTGCAGTCAGTTTAATCTCTCCCTTGAGAAGTTACTTACTCAGTCCCAGTCTGTCATCCCTCCTTGTGGCCAGGCCCATACTTGCTTAGGAGGGGCCCAGCAGATTTCCTGACCTGTTTTATAACATGCTGGGCAGAGAGAAGTTGAAATTCATACCAGTGCTACGTAAGTATTCATTGTTACTAGTAAATGAGTTAGCTCTATATTACTTTTGCCATTGGTAAATACAATAGTATTTCAGGAAGACTGTGTTTAAAAGTCAGAAGGCCTATGGGAAGTCATGTAGCCCAGACCCTCACTTTACTAAATCCTTAGACTGTGCTGTGTGCTGAACTTTCCTAGCCACTTGGTGGCTGTGTTAGATGTCTTCTGCTTGTCCCTGCAGATTGAGTCACCACCTTGCTTCACCCTCCTCTCAGCCCTAGGAGGCTGACTGGTGTGGAATGAATATTCCAGAAGTTCCTTTGCCTTCTGGTTTCCCATTGGATTTGTCCACAGGAGATCACCAGTAGGAGATTAGGGGGAGGAAGGAGATACAGCAGGCCAGCTGTGTCCCTTGATCAGAGGCTGTAGCTCCTATTAGGCACTTTCTCCACACAGCTCCAGGTTCTGGTGATCAGTTCGTCCCTAGTGATGGTACATAGGTGCCCCGATTCCAGCCTCAAGTCCTGCCTTCTTCCTTGTGGTTTTCCCATTCT